TCCGCCCCAAAAGGGACGGGTGGTCAATGGTCAAATGATTCCGCCAAGCAACAAAGGGGTCCCCCCCCCCCCCCCCCTCTCTCCCGTTATTCTACACACCCGTACATGCCACCTCCTCTGTCAAACACCCGGCAGCACCACAACAACAAACAGCAGTGACGTCACTCACCTCCGCCGACAGATCGCCTATCGAGACTTCGCGGCCGTGCAACACCAACACCTTCTCCGAGATCCCGTTCAGCTGCCCAACCAAATCACGGGAAAAAACAGAAGAAAAAAAAGAAGCCGAGAGTGGGGTAGAATCCAAAGCGGGCCGGGTGATGAGATAAATGAGTAGGGCCCTTTGGACACGCGGTGCATCATTCAATATCGGGGTGCAGAGCGCGGGTTTTCGTCGGCGGAAAGAAAGCGACATCTTCTTTTGCAAGCATACCTGACGAAAAACTACAGATGCTTGCACGCGCGCGTGCGCGCACACGAAAACACAGAGGACGGCCCCGAGCATCAAAAGACAGGCTAGCACGCGTCTCTCTTGTATTTTGAGCACAAACAACAAACAACCACATATCCCCCAAGTTCTTCAGAGACAATACGCCGCCTCATCGCACCCCAGAAGGTGTGGTTCGACACGGGGTGAGGGTCTCGACCGATGTGCTCACCCTCCTCTTCCGCAAAGAAAAAAATAAATGCGCGCGCACACATACAACCGAGCCTACCAAAAGGGAGGACCGGCTTCCAAGGAACGTGTCCGCACGTATGTTACCACATCATGCAAAATTATCCCTTCCCCGCCCTGGTCAGCCAACAACCCACAAGAAAGTTCTGCCTCGCGTGCGCGAGGATCTCGACGTCGATATCGATCGCGGTGACGTGCTTCGCCCCCAGCACCACCGCCGCCGCCGCCAGCACCCCTGAACCTGTCCCGTAGTCCACCACCTCTTCCCCGCCTGCGGGGCAGTCTCAGCAGTGACAGCAGCGGCAGTAGCAGCAGACAAGGTATAGCCGTTCGGGGGAGGAGGAAGAGAGGGAGCGACCGTTGTGCGCAGGCTTGATTTGGGAGAGGGAGGGAATATAATATACTCGCATTCCGAAACGAGAGGCGTGAGGTTCGTTCATTGAAGAAGCGAAGCAGGTGATCACGCTAGCGCTTGAGAAGAAGCTGAGGTTCGTTCATTGTGAGTTTGCGAAACAGCCAAGTGCACACTCAAACAGACCGAAATATGCATTTTGGCTCCTCATCCAAGAACGCAAGAGCCGCGGTCTTCTTCCTCGTCCAGTTTTTCGCGAGCCTAGATATGAGGTCAGTGGTAGGTTTTGATGGGAGATTTTTGGAGCAAAAGCTTCAAACAAGAAATGCCACCCCCCCCACCGCCGCCCCCCCCCCC